GTCAGAAGACATATAGGTAGTCCTTAACCATTCATTTAGCAATTGAAGTTCAATAGTACTGAAAAAGTTTACCTTTGACTGATCCTTGTTTGCATTTATGACCATGGCAGTATTCCCATTCAAAATTTGGATGCTTGGCAACCAGGATGTATTCACAACAGTTGCAGCATCTTGGGGTGATGTGATTGCTATTTGTGAGCTTCCCAGCTGGCTTCTGATAAACATAGTAGTAGAAGTAGTGTATACCTTTTTTTAATGAAAATTATCAGCACTTTTGACCAGTGACGTCATCAAAGTAAACAAACCCACGTGTTGATTACGTCAGCAGGTCATGGCCCTAAACAGAAATGACGTATTGGCCTAATCCCATCAAGATTGGTAGTCAATCCTCTGGGTACATGATTAGGTTAACCCTAGACTAATTCTATGGACATTCAAAACCAAAAAAGCTAAATAAAGTGAATAATTAGAACTGTTAAATCAGAACTGGATCTTTTTCAATTGGCGCCTACACAGACCAGTATTGAAAACAGTACCTATGTTGAGATATCTCCTTTATCAGCACATACACCCAACGCTCCCCTGGCATTTTTTATCACAGGTCATGGTGAGCATTACACGGATTTAAACAACACCCTGCTGTATGTGAGTTGCAAGATTGTAAAGGCTGATGGGATGGATATTGATGATGAGGAAAGGGTGGGCCTGACCAACTACCCTATAGCATCACTGTTTAACCAGCTGGATGTTACCTTGGGAGATCGGCTCATTACACAGAGCCATCATTGCTATTCTTATTGGGCCATGATTGAACTGATTCTGAACTTTGGTGGTGATGCATTGGGTACCCAATTTACACCTGGGTTTCTTTACAAAGATGACTCGGACCTCATGGAGAGTACTCTACTTACAGCTGCTGGGAACTCTGGTTTCAAAGCGAGAGCAAGATACACGGCCGGTAGCCGTAAATGGGATTTGCTAGGGCAGTGGTTCTCAACCTTTTTAATGCCACGACCCCCAACTGGTCGTAAGTCGAGGACTACTCAACCGGGCCTAAGTCGAGGACTACTCAATTGGTGCAGCACCGTTTGCAGAATGGGACTTTTGGCGGGCTCAGCAGGGCAGAGACAGCCTGGACAATTCCTTTTGAAAGCCAATAGAATTAGACTCTATTCAAGAGAGTCTATTCAACTGGCTTTCAAAAGCCAATAGAATAAAAGGGAGTAGCACAGCTAAGGAAAAGGGGGGAAAAATGGCAGACTGCGTTGTTTGGCGACCCCCATGAAATGGTCGTTCGACCCCAAATGGGGTCCCGACCCACAGGTTGAGAACCACTGTGCTAGGGCCTCTGCATAGTGATCTGTTTTTTCAAGACAGACTGCTGATTAACGGCAAGAAGCAGAAATGAATTTTGCATGATGAAGGATGGCAATAAGAATTATAAAGTGCAACTCCTGGCGGCGTCTCTCTTTGTAAAACGTGTAAAAGTAGCCCCAGGAGTGTGCCTTGGTCATACAGAAGCTTTGCCCACCTCCAATGCCAAATATCCCATTGATTGAGTGGGGATGAAGGTTTACAGCATTCCTGCAGGCAGCCTTGTGTGTAATCAGGAAAATCTATTTCTGGGGCAACTACCTAAACAATTAGTGATTGGGTTTGTGGACAATGCATCTTTTAATGGGGATTATGAAAGAAACCCGTTCAATTTTCAACACTGCAATGTCAATTTTTGCGCCCTGTATTGTGATGGTGAGCAAATCCCCACAAAGCCTCTTCAGCCTGATTATGAACACAGTCTTTTTGTGAGAACGTACATGCAGATGGTGCAAGCCACAGGCAAAGGCATGAAAGACAGGCCACTGATAATCAGCTGGGAAGAGTTTAACCGAGGGTATACTTTGTATTGTTTTGACTTGAGTCCTGATCAGGGGTGCTCTGAGCACTATTCTTTGATCAGGAACGGTAACCTCAGAGCCGAAATTAGATTTGCACAACCCCTCCCCAACACCGTCAACATGATTCTCTATGCAATCTTTGAAAACCTTATTGAAATAAGTCACACAAGGAAATAAGGTAGATTTAGGCTAGCTGTTTCAACCAATCAAAATACTGTTTTCTTATTTTTTTATATTTACTTACCATTTGATGTTTTGCAGTATCTGCAATAGCAAAGCTTTGTAAGTTTGTTCTCTTCAATGAATCCGTATAACTCAGGTCCTTTTCTTATTCTGCGCCCACGCTTGGGAGGTTTGGGGGTCAAATTTACATCAAACAAATCTCCATCAGAGGTTGCCATCTTCAAAAGACTGCTGGAATTAAATCGCTAGCTGTTCAGGCCTGCCCGCACAAACTCCCCTGCCCCTTGCAATGCCACGCCCTTGAGCATTGCGTATGCCCAGATCATGGGGAGTATGACATGCCCGGGCATATCCCAAACAAGATCTAACCCCTTTTTTACTAGCAGACAGAAACACGCATGCCCAGAATCGCGGTCCTGACATGCCTGGACAAGTTTTAAACCCCTACTTGCCGCCTGGCTGCTTGCCTCTTGTGAGCATTTTAATTCCTGTTAATATTCCTTGTCTTTTACTATAGGGGGGCAGAATAAATTTTATTCAGGGTGCAAATGGCAAAATATGTGTCTTTAGATTTTTACAAAGGTTAAAAACCAGCTGTGGGTTTTAAAAGGGGCTGTGGTTTGTTTGTTTTTTCCCCTGCATTCGAGGAAATGATTTTAAAGCCACCTAGAAATAAATACCTTTTAGAAAAAAATACCTTTTAGAAAAAAGGGGTTAAATGCAGGCTCTGGCTACCTTTCAAGGGCTTCTTTTTCCCCAGCTTTTGAGGCACTGATTTTTAAAACTCCACAAAAATTAAAAGCATCATTAGGCTAGAATGATTAGAAATAAAAAGCCTTTTTCATTTTTTATTTCACAGCTCCCCAAAGTAGTGCTTGTTTCCCAAAAACACAGGCCTCTGCTAATTATTCACTTTACTTAGCTTTTTTGGTTTTGAATGTCCATAGAATTAATCTAGGGTTAACCTAATCATGTACCCAGAGGACTGACTACCAGTCTTGATGGGATTAGGCCAACACATCACATCTGGAGGGTGGGGGCTGAGCACGTCACTTCCGTCACTTCCGTTTAGGGCCATAACCTGTTGACATAATCAGCACAATGGTTTGTTTACTTTGATGACGTCACTGATCAAAAGTGCTGATAATTTTCATTAAAAAAAGGTATACACTACTTCTACTCAGAGTCAAGGGGGGGAAACTCGACTCGCTTAACAACTGCAGTGATTTCCTTAACAGCTGTGGCAAAAGCAATCATAAAATCAGGTGTGCTTTACTTAACAAATGCCTTGATTAGCAACAGAGATTCTGGACCCAGGGATCTAGAGCAGGGGTCCCCAACCTGTGGGCCGCGGCCTGGTAGAGGGCCATTGCCTGCTGGCCACCGGGCCACGGGACAAGCTGGCCAGTACGAACGTGTGTGCGCACGCATTCCCTCACTTGCATTAGCACTGTGGCCATGAGATGTGAAAACAGGATGCCATGCCACGGGATGCAAAAACAGCTGCTGCTGCACCTCAGGGCACAAAAATGGGACGCTAACACACCTTGGGGTGCAAAAACAGGCTGCTGCTGTAATGCAAGGCACAAAAATGGACACTGCAGCACCATGGGGTGTGGAAAGGGGCTGCTGCGGTGCCTCAGGATGTGAAAACGGGCTGTCGCTGCAGTGCAGGACACAAAAACGGGCCACCACATTGCAAGGCGCAAAAATGAGCCGCAACCGCACCACAGGACATGGAAACAGGCCATTGTCATGCCTTGGGGTATTAAAACAGGCCAATGCCGTGCTTCAGGGCATGAAAGCGGGCTGCTGCCACACTGCAGGGTGAAAAATTGGGGCACCGCTATGCTGCAAGGCGCAAAACATCCACCGTCGCACCGCAGGGCGCAGAAACAGGGCACTGCATCACACAGGAACAGGGTAGAGCTAGCGAGCATCACCCTCTGATCCACCAACCAAGAAAGGTTGGTGGCCTCTGATCTAGAGAGCATGCCCATTCTGCTGCATTGTGTGGGATAGGCAGAAATACCCAGCAGGAAAAGTTGGACAGATATTGCCTTTCTGGTGTGCTGGTCATTGGTTGGTGACAATATTGTCTGTTCTTAGCCTCCAGAAAAATGTGTGGCTCATGCAAGCCCTTGGCCAAGTGGATTATGGATACATTCCTTGGCATAAACTAATGAAATGCAATGCAGCTGGAGTATTATATGCTGTGAAAAATCAACTACATCTGGATTCAGCCTAATGATTATGGCTCTGAATATTATAAGATCAACAATTGTATCATTTATGCAAATAGGTGTCTTCCTTTTCCACATTCATAAAATTAAATTTTCTTATTTTAATACAGATTAAAAAAAGGCATAAATCCGTTTGAACCTATTACAAAAACTTATTTTCCTCCTCTTCCATTTTCTGAAATGGAGTTCTAAATCCGGAGAGATTTATTGATATGTTCAAGCAAACTCAGTATCGAACGTACCCATGAAAATTAGCAACTTTTATTTTTCTCTGTAGAGACCTTCCCTGCCCCCAGTGCCGATGGCGGGCTTAAGAACGGATGGTAAACAACTATACTTACACCCTTACTTATGTAACATAACCAGTTTTAGGCCAATTAAAAACGAATTCGATCGAAGCCAAGCCTTCGAATCTACAACCCGTGACACATTCCCTCCCTCGCCAGCCTTTTATGAATGAACTTTAGGCGCTCTTGTTTTTTTTTTTTTTTTTTATGAATGAGAGTTCCAACGCTGAATGAATCTTGGAACATCTCAAGCTGATTGGCTCAAAGCATTCAAACCACGCCTTATTCTTGCTGCTTGAGACTTGATTGGTTGGGCGTGTCCCAGCGAGCCTAGGGAATCCCCCCTCCTTTCTTTCATTCACAAAATCAATGAAACAAAGAGAAACAGAAAAGAGTCTGTTTCTGTGAAAGAGGAAACGACTGCGGGCTAGAGGCGGGAGCAACTCCACACGGCTCTGTTTTTTTCGTGAAGCAGTATATTCTTCTTGTTTGAAATCAGCTGCCTTGAGCTGGGGGCCAGCAGGAAAGACCTGAACTGACCCCCGCGTTTCCATTCTGAAGTGAGGTGAGGAAAAGATAAGTTTTCATAGAAACTCCTTTATTTCACGTACTTTTACAGAAGCTGCGGGAGGGGGGAAGAGGGAGACGAGGAGGAATATATATATATATATATATATATATATATATATATATATATATATATATATATATAAAAGAACCATGGGCCTAGTGGGTGCTGGAGAAGCAGGACTGCTTTTGTAGAGAGAATCATGTAGCAAACATGGGCAAATAAGATCTGTAGGTTGAAGCCTAGGAGGAAAGGGCAGCTGAAACAAACAAGAGAGGTATCTGAAGCTGGAGATGTTTAAACCTAATCTTGTTCGTATTGCAACGAAGTCTCACTGAGGTAAATGGGGCTTACTCCCCAATGCAAGATGTGAATAATGAAAATTGGCTTCTTGAACTTCTGAAGAGGAAAAAAAACGGGCAGGAGTTGTTGGTACGATTTAAATGCCTGTCCAGTGGAATGGGCAAAGCAGAGGTTGAGGAAAGTATAGAGGGCTAAAGGAGCCAAAAAATGAAATAATAATAATATCCAGGCACCCAGAAAGGGAGAAAGGGAAAGGATGATGCAGGAACATAAAGGGGTGAGAAGGTTTGTAGAGGACCTGAGTTTTGAAATAAATAAATTTTGGGTTATAAGGATGGCATCCATTCTCCTTCATTAGGCATTTCATTAAGTCATTCCCTGAAGTACATTGGATTCATCTTCAAGGTAACACATGGCTCATGAAGACTGGAAATGTTGGGAGTTGTAATCCCAACAGATCTGAAAGCGTGAGATTAAAGAACTTTCCTTCTGGAGGTGGCTGAGCAAAAAAAAAAAAAAAAGCACCTTTTCAGTTATGGCATTCCAGCAAGCAACAGTAACAGGAAGGTCAGGGAAAAGGACCACTGGCTTAGGAATCCGTTTAAGAGACCCTTCTTGTAGACGATGCTGCAAATTGCATGCAATAAGGCACTTACCAATCTTCAATCTATTGGTGCATTTTTTTCTTTTTTTCTTTACAGCTACCTGGTGGGTTTTTCCTGTGCCCTCCATGCCTTTGAGAAACTTGCTTCCATGACTGATGGGAGGATGAAAGGATATTTGGACCAGCAAGTGCCTTACACTTCTGCACAGGTGAGTGAGAGCAGAGAGTTTGCCCTTAAGGCTTCGGTTTTTTTCTGAGCAGTAGTTTGAGCACCGGATGCCTAGTGATCTGTCTTATATTAACTTTAGTGCTGTTTGTCTACTTATAGAAACCAACAGGGAATGGAACTATGGACAGCAAAGCTGTGATGGCTTCACGGAGGAAATCCATGGACCCAGGCGTTCCCCATGTTCCAGATTCAGAAGGTTTGTGGGGGAGGGGGAGAGGGGTAGACATGGAGGGTATCTGAGACAATCCTGTTTCTGATTTATTCTAGCTTGAAACTTCAACCTGATTTGGGAATATAATGATATTCTAGGGCAACCGTGCTTCCTGTTTTGCAACAGGGAATAAAAGTTTATCATGGACTCAGATTCCCTAAGATTAATTAATGCCCAGTGCATGATCTACTAAAGACCATTTTTGGTTCTTTCATTTTGGATAACTGAAACACTTGAATAATAAAAAATGATGTTTCAGAAGCTGTACCTTCTTTCTTTGCATAGTCTTTGCCTGCAGTCTGGATGGAGAGCACATTATAATTGCTGCAATGCTTACCTAACGAACAGAATAAGGAATTCTTTGAAATCATCTCTTTGATTTGGGAGGGCTACAGCTTGAGGATACAGATCTTTTTTTTACAAAACCCTCTTAATGTCAAGCAGCTATGTCTTGCTTTGGACCACAATTTAAGGGAATTCTCTTAAGAACTTCCATCTTCCTCACTGCTAGGCACTATATAAAATATTTAAAAAGTTAACATTCTTTAGCCTGAATGAGGATAACATTTTTTTGATGGGTTCACTGGGGACAGAAATGCTTTTTCTTTTTGCTTTTAATCAGAGAAAATTTCTTAACAGCTTTCAAATGAATCTTCCATAATTCTGCAGTGGCTAAGGCATTGGATGCTTGCAGGCTGCACAGCTGCTTTCTATTTTAGTGGAAAGTTCTGAGAGTTCTGAGAGCATGGATCAATTTAGAAAAATCAGTTTTACCTGAAAAATCAGTTTTACCTGATCAGCCTTTTTCCCCTGTGGGACTAATGCAATTGTGAAGAAACAGCTGTTAGAGTTGAGGCAATCTTTTTTATTACCTTTTAGGAGAGGACCTAATCAACATTTTTATTCAGGCTATAGCTGGATGTTTTAGGATAGTGAGTTTGGAGTAAAAAGCCCTGAATTTTAGAATGTAGTCTCTTATGAGTTGTTCCTGGTGGGGCTATTTTGGTTAAAGGTTTGGAACAAAACTATTTCATTTTTTTTATGACATCCTTAGATTATATTGGGCTTCTGTAATGGATTTGGGCCTGCTTGCTATTTCCCTTTAACCCAGTGTTCCTCAGCTTTGGTAGCTTGAAGATGGATGGACCTCAACTCCAGCTTGCTTGCTATAGAATTCTGGAACTTGAAGTCCACCAACTTCAAGCTACCAAGATTGAGAAATGCTGCCTGAACTGTTTCTTTCAAACATCAACCTTCTTCACTGCTCCAGAACTACTGTTCATTGTTATCACGCTCTGCTCCATTTCCTTGCAGATCTCTTCCTTGATCTAAACCAGTTCCAGGAAACATGGCTGACTGAAGGTAAGGCTGTCTTATGGATCTTCCTTTGTTTGCTGCCTCTTTCCTTGCCATGCCCATTATCATCATCATCATCACCATCACCATCATCATCATCTAAGTATCTTTCCTTTTGCTTCCATCTGCTTTCGGTGTAACTGAGCCTGAGTAAATTCAAGAATATGAATGGCATCATTGTGTTGGTATTTGCTTATGAAAGGAACTTGGCAAAGGACTTTCAAACTTTCCAGCCCTCTGGAGTGATGACTGTTGACAGCAGAGTTCTGCTCCCTCTTGCAAACCCATGGAGCCCCTCTCTGCTTTAAAGGGTGGTTTAAAAATGGGATGTCTTAGAATCTTGTTGGTTTTCATTACTTTCTGTTCTTTCTTACTTCCATTTTGATCAATATTAACCTGGGATGACAAACCTCAAATCTGCTCGTTCCCTAAGTGCCCAATTAAGAAACATGGTTAATTGCAGTTTGGAAATGGATTTTGTATTTTGTTCTTGCAAGTGTGGACCTAGGGACATGGCATTTTGAAAAGGTTACAGAGGCTATCTGTGTGTTTACTTAACATGTATTATTCCTCTGCTTATCTGAAATTGGTGGTGCTTTCTGAAACCAGAGCAAAAATGGAGTAAAAGAGAGCAGCTGATCAGCAGTCAGATTTTTTTTTTAAGTATATAATATGGAAGAAGGAATTCCATTGAAATGATTCATGTATATGTTCCTGTATAATTCTTTTTTTTTTTAAGTTAAATAAATACTTGTCAGCACAACTGATGCTGCAATACAGTTTAGTGATGGTTAGTCAGAGTGTTGATAACAATTTCTTTCTTGCAATTCTGGTGCCTAAAAATTGAGAATTTACTATTGTGATTGGGAAATGAATATCCTGAAACACTGCATTTATTTTATGCACTATTTTTTGAAAGTAAACTTCATGGTTTTAATGAAAAACTTGGAAGATCTCTATAACTCCAAATTGAGCAACTTAAGCAAGAATGCATAATTATAGCATTTTATTTTCTAATCTTAGTATAAAATCCTAAGACCATGCTAATGCTATTGATAGCAAGAGGCAGGATATAGAATTGAAAACAGGCATTGGTAGTCCTCAACTGGAATTATGGTCATAAGTCATGTTGGTCATTAAACAGATCACCATGTGACTATGCCCAATTTTACAACTTTTTTGGGGTCATTAAATAAACCCATTGTCTGCAGTGTACCTTTTTTTTGCCAGAAACTGGAATAAATGCTGCTTTCTGGCAAAAAAAAAAAAAGTTGTAAATCATGGTTACATGAGTGCAAGATACTGCAAACAGCTGTGAATGTTGGGTGGTTGCCGGAATTTCAAATTCAGGCTGTAAGTCAGTCATAACTTGAAATGATTCCTAAGCGACCAGCTAGTAACTCGAGGACTTCTCATACATAACCACAAAGACTAAATGCTTCCTTTCCTCCCTCTTTTCCTTAAAGGAGCAAAACAAAAACAAAAACCACTCAGATGTTTAGATTTGAATTCTGGATTTGAATTCTGAAATCGAAGATTTTCTGATGACAGCAAATAATTTAGAACACAGACAGGAAAAAATGAATTGTTATTTGTGGTTTCTTTCAGGCTACAATATCTTAAATGGAAAACATTTTTTTTTCAAATCAAGACTTTTTTTTACACTTCATGGTGCATATTATTAGGGGTGGGAGTAATTTGTTCTGTATTTTGAGACTTTATATATTTAGATTTGTTTATTTATATGGTTGTCCCTCTGACAGCAATAAACTACCATTTAAGCAATCTAAACTAAGGTTCCTAGAAATGCTACTCTGCCTCTCTCCGATATTCATCTTTTATGTTAAAAGATAGTTCAACAAAATAATGTTAATTCTCAAATCCCAGAAGTGTGGGATTTAAATTCCCCATTTACTTCCACCACAGCATGATTACTGGATTACCCTACTCATCTAGAAGGAGCCAAGTTGGTAACCAAGTTCTTTTATTTCCCTTCATGAGAATATTAACCCTTTGGAACAGTTTGCTTCAGCAGCTCAGCAGTTTTTAAAAAAATAAAATAAAACCAGGACTAATTTTCCACAGACTAAAACAGAAGTTGCACCAAGTCGTTATCTTGTTCATTGTGGCTTGCTGGAGAATTATCTTAAGTCTGTGGAACAAACAGGCCACATGGTTTACAACAGTAGTGGCTAGTCTGATGAGTTATCTAGCCACACATATGCAAAGCTTAGAGCCAGTAAAATGAAACAGGATATGTATCCTGAGGTATCCCTGGAATTCAGATCTAGATAAGTAAAAACAATTGCAAGTTAATTGAAGCAATTATGTGTTTGCATAATTGCTTCAGTCTAAGATTCGAAATGGATCTAGTGGAAGAGAGAGATTGCTCAACACCAATGTTTTTCAATCTCAACAATTTTAAAGCATGTGGACTTAAACTCCCAGAATTCTCCAACCAGCACGCTAGCTGGGGTATTGTGAGAGTTGAAGCCTACATGTCATAACATTGTTGAGATGAACAAACATTGCTCTCTTTCCAAGGCCATTTAATATAAATCTTTCTTAAAAACTAACTTGTGAAAAGAATGTTTGTCTACATTTTTAAGTTAATTGCTCAGGAAGAAAGGTTTTCTACAGTTAGCATGAAAATACAGACTACTTCATTAAAAAAAAAAAATCCCTGGACTAGCCCAAAAGGGCATGGAGGAATTTTCCTTTTTCACTAGCCTGTTCATTTTATTTTATTTTATTTTATTTTATTTTTGTTAAATTAATTTGCCGCGTATCTCACTATGGGGCTACTCTAAGTGGTTTATAATAATAAAAAGAAATGAAAAGAGTGCAAACAGAAGTAAGATAATAGAACAATAAAATAAACAAAGAATAAAACCACAATGAGAATGACAATATGATTACCAAAAAAGAAAGAAAGATAGATAGAAAGCTGAGAATGGTGGGGGTCAGGGCGGGGTAGAGTCTGCCTTTGACATTCAAAACACTGGCCTGCAAGGGAGTTGTTGATCCTCTATAGTACTCAGACGATTGCCTTACAATTGGAATAATCTTGCAGAAATTAAATTCTTGATCTATTGGGAAAGAGGCTGCGAACCACTTTAGGAATGATGTGCCAGGGAGGACTACTGAAAGAACAGAGGTATGTGTGATGGTAGTGGGACTGCTGGTCACAAGCCAAACCCATACTGAGCAATGCTATGTTATGACTGCTAGCTTTTGTCTCAGGGAAGTTGGAAAGAGGTAGTTTTATCTGTCTTTTTGTTCTGCTCTGACAATAGCAAAAGATGTTTAAGGTGTGTAGACTTCAACTCCCAGAATTCTCCAACCAGCATGCTGGCTGGGTAATTGTGAGAGTTGAAGTCCACTAGTCTTAACATTGTTGAGATAGACAAACATTGCTCTCTTTCCAAAGCCATTTAATAGAATGTTGAATAGAAGAGAATGTTGAGAGTTACTTTGGAGAATGCAGTGACTTGAATAATGGATGCCATCTAGCCACTTCTTAAATGTGTCTTGTCCTGTTGGCTTCCCAAACTGAGCCAACCATGTTAATGAAGTGGATTGTGTGGTCCAGGATGGGTGGGTGGTAGAATGTGTGGGAATTTTATCTGAGATTATAACTGTTTATCCTCATAAAAGGCATGCATAGCAGAAGTTGGATTCTTTACTTGAATTTAGATAGGTGTGCTGAAGACTCTGAAATTATCTCTGCATGAGCTTGAAGCTATATTTTATCTAAAATAAAAGAAGTGTAAAATTTATTATGTAATTTTACATAATATAAAATTGCAATTGGTTGGAATTAAGAATTATCTAATCCAAGACTTCTCTAGCAATGGTCAAATTCTCTGAAAGTTTACAGGGAGGACATGATGGACAGAAAGATTCCCCATTGCTTGCTTCCAGTTTTTGATAAAAGGTAAAAGGACTGTAGCCACTGATATTTTCCATGAATTATTCCATGAATAATTTGAGCCTTCATTGAACAGATAAAGCATTTAGTTATATCCCACCTGTATTGTTTTTATAAACAACTCAAGATGGAAAACATGTCTAATAATCCTCTTTCCTCCTATTTTTCCACAACGACAACCCTGTGAGGTGGGTTGGGCTGAGAGAGAGTGACTGGCTCTCATGGCTAAGGTGGGACTAGAATTCAGTCTCTCGGTTTCTAGCCTGGTGCTTTAATCACTAGACCAGACTGGCTGATATCCCATGGGGATGATTGGTCTAACCCCTGTGCCCCAAACACAAATATTTTACCAATAGTTTATGCAGCTGTGATCATCTTATCTCTGAAAAAAATTGCATTTGTTTAACAAACTACGCATTACACTTCGTATGAAAAGGTCTTGACAGCTTTTTATCCCTTGCATGATGGCATTAGCAGAAAGAGGATAACTGTGTATTGGAAAATAGTTGAAGAAAGAAGGCGATATTTAATCTATGTAGTTTTTCTCCCCTCCTCCCCCCAGCTGTGTTTTCATTCTGCTGCTGTATCTTACCCATTTATCTTGCAAAAATCATCTTGGAGACCAATGGGAGTAAAAACAGCTGTGAATAAAAGAACTATTGGCAAGAAGGAAAGAGTTAAACATTACTTCCTTTCCTTAGAAAATCCAGCTTTTCTGCAAAGCCTATGGCTTCTTTTCTTAATCCTCTACTTTATTGTAGATTTCCTTAATATGTTGCTTTTTTAGAGTATGACTCCCATCAGCCCCAGCCAACTGATTAATGATCTTGGGTGATGGGAATTCAATGTTTTGGGAAGTACAGATTTCTCTACAGCAGGCTAAGTGATATGTGCACGAATAGTGCTATATAAATAAAAATAATTCCCCTTTCTGCTAGAATATAATGCAAAAGAGGACAGACTGTCTGGGATTCACCATAATACAGTGGTTATTTTGTCCCTTGATCAGAAAGGGCTTAATATTGAGATCATTTTTAAAACTTGTTCTGTACTTCTTCAGTGCTTAACATTATAT